TCTACGGGCAGAGAAATGGAGGTTATTGCTTTTCCTCGCCACACTTTATATTCTTAGTTAAAACTGAAAAATATTTAACCCGAGGATCACACCCACTGTATACTGTGTAGGTTTTAGCACATGGAGATTATAATCTTGTTTGGGGTCATGCTCTTAACATTCCTAGGAAGTGGACAGAATTATCCCCATTTTTCCGAGGGGCCAGTTGAGGAGAAGGAAAGGTAAAGAGATTATTAGCAGTAAGAAGGTAGAAAGAGATCTCTGTATGTTCTCTTCCATTTTTTTGCTTTACTTGCATCTCAGGCCATCTTTACTCACAGGCAAAAAGGCATTCATTCTGGAGATCTGATTACAGGCAGATAGCCCTACGAGCCTCCCTCTTATCATAAGGACAACAGAAGTTAATTTTACCTATGCTGCTAACCCCTTGATCCAGTTCTGCTCACCTTCGCTCAAGAGCAAAGTTACCTGTCTCAGAAGAGTACATATTCCATACAGTAACATATTTCCTGTGAGAAAACTTATGGGGTTATACTTTTTCACATTCACTTCCAAGGAAAAATTACGTATGCCAGTGCTTGGAAATATTGGAAACATTATGCAGATCCTTCTGGTATAATATTTTCATATATAAATCTTGGTACCACAGAAGGAAATACTTCTGCCTCATCCAATTCTAAGCAATTTAAGTGGAAACAAACTGAGAAAAGTGAGAGGGGAAAAACTGATTGGTGTTGGAGGAAATGCTCACATCTTCTGTGCTGTCCTGGAAGCCTGAAGTAAAGTTTCTGGCTATTTGGAGCAATGAGAGTTTTTTCATTTGATTCTATAGGCCCAAGATATCATCCTTTGTTTATTCAGTTTCAGTTCCCTTGTATTGGACTATCAGGATCTAACTGTGGAAGCAAATCTCTCAGTTGCTGGAGCTATCAAATAATCAAATATTACTCAAGAGGCTGAAGGTCTCTTGACTTTCAACCTGAGTTCCTTGAGACCGATGAGAACTTATGCTTGTCCCACCTGTGGCTAATTAACAATGCCTAAGTGAAACAGAACCCAAGAGCTGTAATAATTTATTTCCATTGTAAAAGGATACAATGTCACAAGAAAAAAGGAGGGGAGGGGAGGAGGAGGGGAGGGGAGGGAGGAGGGGAGGGAGGGGAGGGGAAGGGAGGGGAGGGGAGAAAAGAGAAGAACAGAAAAGAACAGAACAGAAAAGAAAAGAAGAGAAAAGAGAAAGGAAAAAAGAGAAAAGAGAAAAGAAAAGAGAAAAGATGTACTAGGCAATAACCTTGTTAGGAAACACAACAATAAGTAACACAGTCACATTGTGGCATACAGTACAAATTCTGCACACACTGCTGGAGGCTCAGGTCAGAAGTGCAAGCATATGTGAAGAGCAGTGGGAGGAGAGGTCTGGAATGGAAAAACGTTTGTGCATCCTGTCTCAATGTTAAGATCTGTGTGTTTCTCTTCCTCACTCAAAGACTACTCCTGGGTGGTTCTTGGGATAACCATGTGTCCCAGGCCCCTGACAGGATTCTTTTTGAGTACTAGAAGCAGTTCAGATATACCCTACAGGAAAAATATGTACCATATTGATATAACACATTACAGGAGTAATGCAACCAGAATATACAGGGAAAATTTTATATTACTATTTATTTAATTATCTCTTTAATTTTATTTTCTGTTACCTTGTTTTATAGAAGCAAATACTCCTTTAATGTTTACAAACTGAAATTAGGATATTGTAAAACATTTGACAGCAGAATTCAAGTTTAATGCACTATATGTACATACACAATAAATACAATTATACAGATTATAAAACAATTTATGGCTTTACTGAGTGCACATATATACACATATACCTACAGATATATGTGAAAACAAGTCAAAGAGCTTTGCTCAATATGATTCTGGTATATGGATCTAGTAAAGATTCTTACAAAATTGTAAATGATAGGTTAGAAGATACAGATTTCATTGTGTCTGTTGCAGAAAGAAAAGAAGAATGATGTGAAACTATAACAGCCCTGACCTATGGACTGAACAAATTATGATGGGTATCTAGTTAATCTTATCTCTTTCTCACAGGTATGATGATTACCATCACTTTGCCTAAACTATTTGCCTTTCAAAATTATTTTCATTGAGGCATGGTTAGTCCCTTTCCCTTCTGGTCCCTTCACGTAATGCTTACAAGGCCCAGTGTGGTCTGTTTTATGGAATCTTTGGACTTCAGCTCATGGGATACAGCCTTGAGAAATATGTCTTCTTCTGTATTTTCAGTACTGATACCTTCTAGAAATCTGCTTTGCCTATTTTACAATATAGTGCACAGTGTCTGGGTTTTGGTTTTGTTGCTCTTTTTGCATCATGGTATCTATGGGCACTCATAGCTGATACAAATGTTATGTATGTTTAGGTACAATAAATGAAGCATGGCTCTCAATGTACATTAGTTAATTAAAAGGCATATTTATAAACACATAGTGTAGTGAGACAATTAAATGCAAATCAAGCCATCACTTTTTATTCCTTTTGAGAATAACTTGTTAAACAGAGAGAAGAATCATTTATCTCTGACTTCACAGTCTCTACAAAACCTAGCTTCACTAGGATAACAAAGCAGTAAACTCTTGGTCCAAACCATTTTCTAGGATAAGCAGGTGCAAGTCTTATTCAAAACAGCCGAGCTTTGTGCAGTATATGGTGAGAATATGGCATTTTTATTTGGCTTTGTTCTCAGATTTGCCAAATTAAGAAAAATAGTTTATTTTCTTTCAGCAGGTACATTTGCAAAACTATGCAGGTACATTTGCTAAACTATACAGACTGAAATAGTACCTCTGTATAGGTGGTAATTCAGGGATCATGAAGATTTATGCCTGTACATCTTGACTCAACAAGGAATTGATTGTATATGCCATTATGGTCTTGAATAAATGGCGGAGGGTCCATGTAACAAATGGGAACTTGCAGTTAAAAACATCCTCTTGCACGATAATTGGTTTCTTTCGATCAGTTTAGAATGCTTTTTATCCCACAGATACATACTAGTAAAGAGAGTCAGTAAAACTTAACAGTGACTGGTATAAGAAAATAGTTATGTCCTATAAATCCTAATGCAGACATGGTAAATATATGATTTACCATCTGTTTTTGTTTATATCAGGTAAGCAGAGATGAAATTTTCAAATTGTGATTTGTGGCTGAAGGAGAGATATTTAGTTACATCATGCTGGCTCTTGTTCTGTTTCTCACTGAGAGAACCTGTGTGGAAGAGGTGGATGAAGTGTAGGGTAATGTTAGGGGCTGCCTCAATCCTTTTTTTTTTAATAAAAAGACAAAAAGATAAAACATTTGACTATAAATTATAAACAAAACAAAACACGAAAACTTTATCAAAGCATCATCAAACACACAAATGCTTTCCAATCAACACTTCTCTGTGAAAACAGTTATGGTAATCTGCAAGCATATATTGTTACTTTATGTGTTATTATAAAAGAGAGAATAGATGTGTTTGCAACAAGAGTTCATCAGAGTGATAGTGAATGGTGTTTGTAAACCATTTTCCCAGAAGAATCCATTCTGTCAAAAGTTTTGAAAGATCCTGGAGTCTCTGCTAAACATTTTTCTTCTAAAGTTTTGTTCTGACTACAAGGCTTTGAGAACAGGTACATCACTACAGTTAACCGAGGCTTAGCCAGTCACAACCACAGCTGACAACAGTGCACCATTTGCTGCTGAACTGTGCATGGCTGGACTGAACAGAGACCTGGGGTTTCTTTGATGCATGTTATGGCACAGAACATAACCTTTCATTGCACAACCTCAGACATGATGTGCTCTATTGGCAAATTAGGACTACTGCCTATTCTACTTACTCCAAGAAGCTGGGGTCTGAAATCACCTTTGCACAGACAAGCAAAGTATTTCCTCTCTGAGGTGATGTAATCAAAGATACAAAGCATCGAGTCCCTTTCTCAGTTTTAGTGTATCAACTAAATTTTCTTATTTCACCACAGAATAAAGTAGAGCACATCTTAGAATTATACAAATCTTTCCTAGTTCCCACTGACTAAAAGGACAGATTTCTGTTTTCTTCCACAGCCTGGCCTGTTACTTTCCCCATAATCTTCATCTGAGTAAATTCAGCAGTTTAGTCTGGAAATTGATTACATTTCCTTATGATTTGCTGAAGAATAATTTTAATTGAGTATATAATGGGAATGCTTGAGTAATGATGTAATTTAAAATATTCCTCAAATTAGTTACTAGTATTTGAAACTGTGAATAGCTAGAGTTGATGTAAGAGTTTCTAATCTGTTACCTATAAAATATGACAATGATCACCTGCTGAATGTGGTATTTTCTCCTCTCTTTTTCTTTTTCTCCCATGTTCTCTGGAGAAGTATGCTAATCAGCCATTGCTGCTGCTGCTATCATTTCATCAAATTTATAACAATTTAATAATAAACATTGCTGATTCACCTCCCTCTGAAGTACTCATGAAAACCTGTTATTAGGAAAGTTATGTTATTTTGATGCTTCTAGTTCTTATTTCTGAGTACAGAAATTATTGATCCACAAATGCTTAAAAGAAACAAAATCTTTCTAATCACTTACAAAAATACAGAAGTCTGCTCTTAAATTAGAGGATTAACTAGCTAGGACTGACTTTGCATATGGAATGACATGAGGAAAAGGGCAGTCTGAGTCATGTAACTGGCCTTGTTTATCTCAGTGAGAGAGAAAAATTTAATTTAGTGCATGCAATTTAACATGCAAAAGGTCAAACTGGTGCATGCCTGCAGGTAGTTAATCAGAAAACTCCTATAATTTCCAACCCAAACAATGTTAAGCAATACAAATGCAAATACTGGCCCTTGCTCTGTGAGGCTGATTTCAGCTGATATTCATAAACTCCTCTTGCTTCTGTCCTGAGTATTTTTCATGATACAAATTATTTTAATTAAAAAAGAGTGTATCTTTCCATGTTCTGTCCTTTTATTGTCTCCAGTAGGGTTGGAAACAGAGCAGAAGTGCAGCTGGGGCAGGATGCCTCTTGGGTGGACTCAAGTTTGTTTTAATTGAATCTAAAAAAACCTCGTTGTCTAACACATGGTATGTGCCATCTGACAGTGGATAAAAAGCCTCAGATCAGTGACAACTGAGATGGAAGCAAGACTGTGGTTGTATCAGCTGAAAGCAGCTCATAGTCTAGGTAAGGAAAGTGTGTGTGTGTGCAAGTTATTAGGAAGTCTTTTCTCAGTTACTGGGAGCTTTTTTCCTTTCTCCTCTCATTTTCCCTTCTCCCCTCTATTTTACACTCTCTATCACTTTAAACTTCCACTCAGCACTTCCAACCCTGTGCAGACCATCATGGAGCAGTACAGCTTCTGAGTTCACTTTGTGCCTGCTTTTTGTTTTATAGGCTAGTAATATGGGAAACATGTTGCTTTCTCTAAGATGCTGAATACCTTTTAGTTCTTCTCAATTTCCCTGATGAATGCTTCAATTACCCAAAAGATACCATTCTCCTGTCCCATTTTTCCTTTTGTAAATATACAGAGTAACTTTTTCCCCCCACAAAATCTCATAAGAAAACTACTTTCCTTCGAACCCTAACATACATATGCATTTCTATTCATCTTGTAATGCTGCTCCCTGATATTCAGTTGTGTCTTTTTCAAAATAATAATTAATTCAAATCCCAAACAAATTGGACTCAAATCAAGCATTGCTGTTAAATCTTAGAAATGATTGGGACCCTATAAGTGGCAAGCTTAGAATTCACATTTTGCTCCCAGGTGTCATAAAATGGTGTCTACATGCAAAACTCCAAGTTCTTAGAGCCAGTGTATGAATGTAACTGCTTTCTTATTTAGTGGAGCTACTCACAGATGGCTTATTATTCTAATTTTCCAAAGTCTGCCCTGGCTTATAGAATTACTTCAGGGCATAAAGCATTGATTTTGCTCTGTAAACTCATGTGTGGTTTAGGTGCTGACTGTCTATGGGCATCATCGTTTCACATATTGAGTGCCTTGTGGGGGGTGCAGAGTTCCTTCAGCTCACGTTGTGTTTAAGGTAAGTATGACGTAAATGGAAGGAGGCAGTAGAGACCTTGAGAAAGCCTCACTTCTCTATGAAGTATCATAATACACTTGAGCTTTGCTAGGCACTTTTAGTCTTCAAACATTTGGCAACGTAACTAGTCAGACATAATCTAATGTAAATCTCATTTATTTCTGCTCCCAGAAGGGAACAGATGAGGAGGCTGGTATAGTTTTAACGTTCTTGAACTGTGTATGGATGTCAAGGAGACAATACTATTTTTTACTGTGGCACATGTTTTAATTTTTAAACAATAAAAATGTACCCAGACAAGGCACATTTGGATCTGTTTCGTGACTGTAGTGTGCACTGGCTGATGAAGGACCAGCACTGGGGCTGTTCCTCTGCTCCAGGGACAGGACTGAGCAGGTGCAGTCTTATATCTCGGCTGAGCTGGGGGGGAAACACACCACTCAAGGGAGCTCTGTGATGACTCAAGGCTGAGGAGTGGGAGTCCTGGCTGTGGGATGCAGCTGGCTATTTCCTGTCTCACTGGTCAACTTTGCTTACTTGTATATGAAGCAGAGAGAGCTGTATGCCCACCTCGTCCTCTGCCATTCTTGTGTCTTCCTAGCAGTAAAGTAAACAGTATGAAAACAAAAATACCCCAAACAAACAAACAAACAAACAAACCCCAACAAAACAAACAAAGGATTAAAAGAAAAAATAAAGTGGAGGGAGATAGTGAGATGGACAAGTGTAACTTTCTGTTTCGATTTCATAAAATGTAGAGGGAATCCTTTGGATTTGATCCAAATGGTCTAGTAAGTATTGAATTTACTTTCTTTAACCTGCTTAGTAAAAACATTTAATTTAATTTGGTCTGCTCCAAATTCCACACAGGTTGAGAAGAGAGTCCTGGACTGAGTAAGGGAGAAACTGGAAAGCTAAAGTGACAGTACTAGACTCATATTTGGTTCTGTAAATAGTCAAGTGCTGAAACCTAAGATCACAAATATCTGCCTTGTTTGAATTTAGGTGAAGAAACATCAATGAGAATGTTGGTATGTGCAAAATTAACCCCATTCATAAGTCTGCAGAACTAGGGCTTAAGCTACACTCAATAGTTTGGCATAATTTTTTACTTACTTTTTCTCTACCACTTTCTGTAGGCTTAAAAGTAGACTATGAACTCTGAATAAGAAAATGGTAACTTTGTCTAATGTTTCTCAATTTTATTTTTTTTTTCAATGCTGTAAGTTTTGTAAACAGGAGAGACCTTTTGAAGGTTCTAGGAAGTTACACTGGTGAAAGCAGATTTCAGTCCACACAGCCAAATTTCCACATGAAGGTGCTCATTGTATTCCTAAATCCATAGCATTCATAATAGGCTCCAGTCACTCTGCCAAGAAAAAAAAAAAGGAGAATTCTGAGTCACTTGCAAAGAGGTTATAAAGTTTTGATCTGTGAAGCACAGATTTGGCACTTAGGAGTGTCATTTTCCTCTGAAGAGAATCAGAGTTGAGGGTGCACTGTGCTGCTTAGGTTCTAGACAATCAAGCAAAGGTATGACTGTTGGACAACATTGCAATTGGGAGCATGTGAATCATTAGAGAGATTAATAGGAAAGTTTTTGAACATGCATTCTTTTCCTAATATTTCTCATTTTTCCCAGGAATGGTCAGTTGCATAGGGAGCAGCACTAAGGTAGAGTGTAATGTGTGGTTTTGCTTGTGTTTATGGAAAATTGCAAAAGAAGAGAGTACTGGATTCATTCACAACACCTTTCTGTTCCTAGGAATAGTAAGGAAGTAGACCAAAAAAACCCCCAAACACAACAAAACCCACCTCCTTAGGCAAAGCACCAAGGATGTGGTCTTTTTGCTGGTAACTTGTCATTAAAGCCTGACAAATTTCACATACACACATGCACAAAACCTGCATGTGGACTCTTTAACTTTGATTCCAACTGTGATTTTTGATGACTGAATTACAGGGTTAAATAGTTGACAGTGAAAGCTGGAAAACTGAACTGAGTCATGAGAACCTGCAGGGCAGGGAATAAGGAAGACACTCTCCCCTGAAGGCCTGGGGAAAAGTTCCAGGTGCCTGGTGAGACTTCAGACTGTCAGCTAAGGTAGCAGTATGCATATCAAAATCAGCCTTCTCATGGATGTTTCAATGTTTGGTGTGGTGGGAAGACCGACACAACTGTGCTTTGTATCATTCAAATAAATGATGACCATGTCTGTCTCTGACATAGTCCAGTGCCAAAAGTAATCCCCAAAAGACCTCTAAGGACTTGAGAAGTGTGAGAGATTCATGTGGATTTGCTCATCACAGCAAATTCTGCTTTAAAATGTGTGATACGGAACTTATAAAGAGTTGGTCTTCTAGTATGTGCTTGTCTCAGTGCTGCCAGTGAAAGAAACACATCTAGAGAAAAGAGACAGCAAAATTGAATATTACTGTGTGGCTATGACAGAGCGGACTTGCCTAATATGCTTTTGCTAAATTTATTGTAACAAGCTTTCCAGACTGAAGCTCTCACTAATTAAAACAAGTAGATAAGTAGCCTTTAACCAGGCTCTCGGAAAATGGTTCCCTAACTGTTGCTCAGACCAGTGCTGTGGCTGATGGGCATATAAATGCCACAAGTAATTCATTTGAGCTTTTTGAAACAGAAGGCATTACTCTGGAGGTCGACTGCCCAAGGAGATGTTTGTAAAACAGGCAGTCTGTTTACCATCATTTTGATTATATTGTCAGTCATTTGACCAAATTCCTGGAAATCTCAGTGACTGGGGAAAAGGCTAAGCAAAATGGTCATTAGGTTAAACTATTAGGACATTTTATTTTCTTATTGGTTTGGTTTTATTAGTGCTATATAGGCATACAGTGCTTTACATTCTCTATCTCTACTGTAGAAAGGTTAGAATTTTGATTCATTTGACACTATGACTCGTCAAGCTGTGCCATATATACTAGGATCAAAAGTTGCTGAGCAAAAAGGCAGAGAATTTGTGTACTTTTACTACTCTTTGGCATCGTTTCTTTAGAAAATATTTGGAATTTTTTACAAACACAAAATTGTAGCAAAGGTGTGGAAAATAGATAAATAAGTTAGGACATCTCACACAACAAACAGTTTGGCAAAGGGACTTCAGGGAAAGAAATAAAACAGCGCATTTTTGAAACAAATAAGATGCTACCAAAGCTACATGGTATACTTGGGACAACAGAAAGCAGGTAGGCCCAGGTGTTGCTTGAGCGGTGCATCCTGCTTCTTTCGAAGTTTTTGCTTTTCCTGGTCATATAGAGAAAAAACTGTGAGCCTTTTGTATAGCAGACCTACAGTTGGGATTTTAGGAGTTATTCATAGGAGTACCAGTATTGACACAAGTGTTTGCTGTCTATTTATTATGTGTTGCACTTGAAAAGACAATGCACGTGTTACTTCAGAATGCTCGACTAGACTGTATGGAATATCAAGATCAGAATAAATGCCATGGGTGGAACTGCTCACAAGCATAATATATAGGGAACAGGCCTGTTTTGTGAATTATTGAAGATGGTGGAAATCAGTCTGTAAATCACAGCAGGTTTCTGTGATTTTAAATATGATAGGAGTGCTGGTAAAATACAATCACTCCCAAGTTTAAATTCCAAGTTTGTTTTAGTGAGCCTGGAAGTAAAAATTTAATAGATCTTGATGTCAACAGAGATTCCATAGCTGAGTTAAAGTCAGTCAAAAACAAAGAGGAAAACATAAACATAAACTCTCCCTTAAAGATGGAGGTAATGTGGTGGGTGTGCTCATGGAGCCATTCTGAGATGAAAATAATGGAAACCATAATGTTCTCAGTTTTTGTTGTTAGACTTGTTGCTACTGTCAGTGGGAGATTTTTCTTTTTAATTCTAGAAGAACTTTAATGATTTTATCTACAAACAAGAAAAGAGACTTAGAAATAGGGCCCAGCTTCAATTTAGGAGAGGATAGAGCTTTTCTCGAAAAACCTGAGGCTGTAATGTGACCATAAGAAATGAAGATAATCTGAGGTAGAAGTAAGTTACACCTAACTGAAAAACACTCTTAATAATACCACAGAAGAATAAATATTTGAGGAAGAATGCAGACATCAATTGACTCCTACCCTGTATTAAATGGAAACACATGCTCTGTACTAGGAACTAGATCAGGGTGGGAAGAGGAGCAGACAAGAAGCCCCAAGCTCCTTTTCATTTCAGTGTCATACTCAATCAGGGCCACTGCCAAATTAACCCCCAGTGTTGAGCCAGTTCAAAACCATTCAGTTCAAGGCTGAAACATATCTCTCTTCTCTCTCTCTCCCCTCCCCAACTTTGTTCATAAACATGCTTCAGTCAGGTGTTAATTACAGTCTCCAGTAAAGCCTCAGAGCCTCACAGATTCTCCTGGGGAAAATGACTGGACTCAGCACTTTGCAGATCTGTTTATTTTACTTTACTGCACTTTAGTTACCCCAGCTGGTTTGCTACAGGCAGAGAAGACCAGGGAAAGCCCAGCCTATGGAAGAGTCCAGAGGAACTAAAGTGTATTCCTCTTCTGAATTGAATAGCTTACATGAGAATTGCTTACCCGTAGTGTGTTGATTGGATGTTGAAGTGTCCTTTCTCCAGGGACCTGACCTTTCAATACTCCGAAAAGTGTGCTTCTTGCCAAGTCATTCCAAGCCATCTTCTCTTATGCCATGTTTCACAGGCAAAAGGCATGTGTGAGAACATCTTGCCACATACTATTTGTTATTGTTAATAGTACGAATTATTTGCTAATCTCTGATGATGTGATCAGCACCGAACAAGACACAGAGAAGCACAAAGCATACCCTGAGGAGTTTATAATTTCGAAGACAAACATAGATGAGACAACATGCACTTGGAAGAGCCTGAAGTCGATGTTGACCTACTAAGAATTTAAAACAAATTAACTAGGAGTGGGAGATGATTTTCTTTTCTTTTCTTTTCTTTTCTTTTCTTTTCTTTTCTTTTCTTTT